TTCTGACCACGCTTCTGTACCTCATTGCTCACCCACAGCTGACCTCGGCTACCCCTGTAACCGCGCTTCTGCTTCAGACTTGGCTTTATACTAGTTCTGAGTGTCTCATTTGGCTATCTTTCATAACTGCTCCAATAATCACAGCTTGTTCCTGCCTAAAGCATGCGGAGACCTTCGACAAGGTATGCTTCCAGAACCTGCAGTACATGCAGAGTGCCCATTTAACCTCGGCTGGTCCAGCTTGCATCCCATCTGCTTCTGATCTGATGTCCTGCCTGACTTTCCAAGCCTGCCTGTCCAGCTGCAAGCTCTGCTATCAAGACCTGCCATCACTCATGTTCCTCCTTTCCCTTGGCACCATCTGTTCCACCTTCAGTGGGGCCTTGGCTGGAGATACAAGAGAGGCTGACCTCGTCAATTCAGTCTCCTACCAGGTACATGACAGTACTCTTTTTCAAGTAAATAAATTATCACCAGAAAACAGACTCACACAGATTGGGAGTGAACTGATATGATGTTTATATTAAACTTGAATGTAAGCTCCATCAAACAGCATAAAGTAGTATACTGTATGTGTATCTAATGATAATTACCATTCTTAGCAACTCTAAGCAAAGAAACAACACATACAGCTAAATCTCAATCAGTGTTAGCAGGCCTGATACTCAGAAGTTAACCCAAAACCTCCAACCTGAGGTGTGTTTTTAGTCCTCAGTGAGCAAGGAAAACTATCAAAGGTTGAAACTATCTCACTTTGGGCCCTCAGGATCTGATGGTAAGATATACATCTGAAATAGAAAGGAGCTCCTTTAATGAGGGTAGTCAATGTCCCTTTAAATGCAGCGAGGAATCTTCTGTGCACTAGTTGGGGCCCAGTGGGTGCATAACAATGATCCAGCCCTTTTAAGTGGGAAGAGATGAAGGTGACAGTCCTTCAAAGGATTAACACAAAGAAGGGAAGAATGATGGATGAGTACTATCCCTTTAAGTAGCACTTGACTTGGGTGGTGTCCCTTTAATGCACTAAGCAAGTTGTAAATTTTAGGCAAAAATGTGCCAGAAGTTGGCAGACGCAATTGCTGGCAAAGGGCAACTCCTCTCTGGGCTGTAGCTAATGGCAATGGTGTTAGATGTTCCTTTAAGAGGATAGGCCAATGGTTAAGAGAACAATGATGTGGTTTAGCCTGCAGAAGGCGTGCACTGCAGTCAACTTTGATAATTGAACTGTGCTGCAAATGTCTTCAATAGTAGCAGCTGGGGGAACTAGGCTGCAGCATGTGTTAACTATATGCAATGTCCACAACTGTGTGCAGGAAGGTGGCAGAATTGAAAGGAATGCCAGTATTCACTTGTTTGTCTGGTGTATGGGATTCTCTCACCCAGTTGGTGGCTTCCAGCAGGTCCTGGCGGGTCTCTCTCTCTCAGCGGATGGGGGCCCCCCACAGGTTCTCCGGTATCACTTGCAGAGTTCCATTTCGGACACCATGCTCCGGGTCACCTGCTGGCAGAATGTTTTGCTGAACAGGGTGACAAGGCTGGAGCTAGCGACTCCTCCTTGCCTCTCTCCTCTCTAACTCTGCAACTTGGTCCAGCTCTCTCCCCTCGTGAGTGCTACTGAATTGCAGGACACTGCCATCTTGTGTTTCTCTTAACATCCTGCAACTTGCATTATAGCAGTGTGTTACATTAAAAAACACAAATGCATGAAGTTACCGTATGTGTTTATTGTAAAGCTTGCTAAATGTTTAAAAGCAACTAGCACAAATGTCCAAATTTACCTCGATATCAACCTTGTGCAATCATCATATAGCAGCATGACAATAAGGGTCCTGCAGTCACTTGTGCTTAAGAGGAACAAGCTGACAGGAGAAGAGAGCAAAGAGAGATAACATCATCAGTGGTTGTTGCTCCTTCGCTGTCCAGTCACAGGCTGAGGGCAAGGAAGTGACCTAGCAGTGTTACTTAACTGCCGCAAAGAAAAGTCATATTTAGGCTATACGTGCATTTTTACATGGTTGGTAAAGTTGACTAAAGTCCATCCAGTTCAACTTGAGTGTGTGTGCTTATGTCATTACCATGCTTAATATGCCTAAACATTGCATTCACTAAGAAACAGGTTTTTTTATTTTTTTAAGTTATCCAAACTCCACCAACTATGGAAAGGAGTTCCACATCTTTACTGCTTTAACACTAAAGAACCCCTTACGCAGTTTAAGACTGAACCATCTCTTGCCCAACTTCATTGTGTGGTTTTGTGTCTCTTTTAGAGACCTTAGATTGACCACTTCACTTGGGTGGGTGTCGTATACCTGTACCTTGAAACACCTGCAGACATCACCCTGGTATCAAAATGTTCAGCCTGCGGTTCTCTTTTAAGCAGAAGTGATTTGAATAGATGAACAGTCAATCTGTGGGCAGTGGAAGGGAGTCCACCCTCTGCTGCTGCCTTTCTGGGCCACCTGGGACAGCTCCAACTGGTGGCAACAGCTGCACTACATAGAGAGAGAGGAACTGACATTGTTCCTCCCTCTCTGTGACTCCAGAAACCGTAAGAGGCAAGGATTTTGTCACTTCTAGTTTTGGGTCTTTGTTTAGCTTGCTTTAACGGCCAGGAAAGTAGTTCTGGTTTTGGGTCTTTGTTTCACTTCTGGTTTTGGGTCTTTGTTTAGATCCGCATTAACGGCCAGGAAAGTAGCTGATCAGACCAATTTGTGTCTGATTGACTGCATTGGAGGCCAGAGGAGAGATCTGGGGTCTAATAGACCCCCAGATCTCTCCATAAAAACAATTTGTTACGGCCCATGTTATCACAGGGAATATTGTTTATCCCTTATGATAGCAATAAAGTTGATTAAAGAAATTAAAGAGACAGTGTAAAAAAAAGTTTAAAATAAAATAAATAATAGTTTAAAGTTTCCCCATCCTTCCCTGTGCTCATACGCAAATGAGAAAACATATGTAAGTCGCACACATATGTAAATGGTTGTTGCACCACACGTAAGGTATCGTCCTGAACATCAGAGGGAGATCAATAATTTTAGTTTCAGACCTCCTGTGTAGCTCTAAATTGTTAATCTGTAAAGCCGTTTAAAGAGTCACCTCTAGAGATTTTTAGGTACTGTAGTTTCACAGTTGTACGCAATTTTAAAGCGAGACATGTTATTTATTTATTTATATAGTTAGTATTTATTTACTCGACGTGACATCATCTTTTATATTTTATTAGAGAACTGGGTATTATATAAGCTTTGTGTGCAATGACATTTATTAAAGTGTATTTATTTCCCAAAAATTTGCATTTGAAAAACCGCTGCGCAAATACTGTCGGACATAAACAATTGCAAAGCCATTTTATTCTCTAGTCTAGGGCCTCTGCTAAACCCCCCCCCCCCACAACATATAATGTTTGGGGGTTATAAGAAATTTTCTAGCAAAACAATTGTGGATTTTTGCATATATATGATGTGTTAGAATTGGTCCAGTACTGAAGTGGTTAAACAGTTTCTCTTAATGATACAGTTACCTTTTAAAGATTTGTATATTGGGATCATTTTCCCTCTTAAAGCGGAGCTCCACCCAAAAGGAGAAGTTCTGTTTTAAGGCTTCGTCCCCTGATACCTGTTAAGGATTGGCACCTTTCAGCGGGAGTGGGTACAAGATTTGATGATAGTCAGTCCTCTGGGACACGTGTGTGGCTATTCACAATGAGCAGCACGACTCTCACATGCGCAGCGCCCACACTTAAGATGGCGGCGCTGGGGACACAGGATGGCCGATGAACCTGGTTGTAGTGATGTCATCAATGGATCCTAGGACAGGTGAGTGTCCGGTTTTAAAAGTCAGCAGCTACAATTTTTGTAGCTGCTGACTACTATTTTTTTTTCATCAGAGACTGAAGCTCTGCTTTAAGCATCTCTTCTTCAGGGAAAATAAGTTTAACTACTTACCCTTCAAAGGATTTACCCCCCTTCCTGACCAGGCCATTTTTTGCGTTTCGGTGTGCGTTACTTTAACTGACAGTTGCACAGTCATGCAACACTGCACCCAAATGAAATTTACGTCCTTTTATCCCACAAATAGAGCTTTCTTTCAGTGATATTTGATCACCTGTGCGGTTTTTCATTTTTTGAGCTATAAAAAAAAGACCAACAATTTTGAGAAAAAAAATTTTTTTGACTTTTTGCTATTAAACATGGTCGACGCTTGTTACTCATGACTGTATAATCTGTAAAATGTTGCTAATTTATTATTTCTATGTGTTCTGCTTTTATGTGGTAACTGTGGCCTACTCTTTTGAACAAGTTTAATATAGAGGTGTTACTAATAAATTGTGTATCTGGCAATATTATCCTATACTGTTGAAATATGTCTGAACCCAAAATGTCAGTTTCACAAATTGAAGAGAACTCCAGCTTATACTTTATAATCAGTTGCAGTAAACAGTTTTTTTTTTTCATTTAAGACACTGTAGGCACCCTTGTGAGTGGTAAATGGTTTGTCTCATCTCTGTAACTGATACATCTGGAAGAGAGCTTGTTCTTTTGAAAAACAACAGACTTACTGGTCATATCACCAGGTGCAAACAAGGGAAAGAAAACCTAATAAAGAAGACTAACATAGCCATCACATCTAAGAAATGATACGCTGCAACAGGGGCGGACTGACCATTTGGAAACTCGGGCACTGCCCGAGGGCATGGGGTCAGTAGGGGGCCCCATGAGATGCCCCTGGTACCTTTTTCATAGGCTTTTTTGAGTTTGGGCAAGGACACAGGGGCCCCATGATCCCCTATTGCCTGGGGGCCCCATGAGTTGTCAGTCCGCCCCTGCACTGCAATATAATAAATGTTTACATTTGGATTTAATACCGCATTAAGTCCGATACCATTATCTAAATTAAAGTGTTACTAAACCGACAGCAGTAAAATCAGTCTGTATATGCAGTAAAGTATGCTTGTTATACACACTGTGGGGTTAATCCTCTGCATTGTGTAAAAAGGCTGTTTGATCCTGTCTTCTCTGACCCTCCCCTTCTTCTACTTTCCAGAATCCTTCTGATGATAGAACAGAGCCTTGGGGGTTGCACATGCTCAGTTTGATGTGTATTGCTAGAGAGTTCTTTTTTCTTCTTGGGAGAGTGCATGTGATCAGTACAGGGCCAATCAGCATCCAGAAAGAGGGCCAGGGATTATGCAACCTCATAGGACAATTAGGGGAGAATGAAAACTGACAAGCTTTAACTAGTGCTTTGCTGGACACTGATAGAAGTCACAAGGCTGCTCTAACTGCTGATGAGAAAAGGTATTTAGCAGTTTATATTTACTAAAACAATTGCATTTCCATGTTGTGTGTACTGTGGGAGACCAGATATAGTGAATGCAGGGTCCTGGGTTTAGTAACACTTTAAGATGATGTCATCAACCTGCTGCAGGCAGATGTAAGCATTTCCTTATGGTGTCCAAACAAGCTGCAATAAATGATCCGTTACTTTTCTGGTCGATCTCTCCCAATAGGAATAACTGATCTATAGTGTACAAGCCATTCAATCAATATACCACAAACTGGAAATTGGATTTTAATCAATGGTTGGAAGATACAATCACAAGTTATCAATCGTATCTCTGTTTTTGCTATGCAATCTCATAATCTGATTGGCTGAGATACGATCAAATTCACAATGTAAGAATCTTAATGCTGCCAATCGTTGCAAAAATGATCATTTTTTTTTGGCAGTTTGATTGAGTCTGATCTAAATTGAATCTAAATCAATCGGAAGTAAAGTTATGCCAACTAAATTGGTTTCCGATTTGATCATTGTAATCAAATTTCACATTGATTGGATAATAAAATTAGAGATGAGCGAATTATTCAAAAATTCGATTCGGCTGATTCGCCGAATTTGCGGGAGAAATTCGATTCGATGCGAATTTATTCGCCGCGAATTTAACTTATTTAAAGGGTTTCTAGGCTTCAGAGAGCCTTTATATTAGTGCAGAACACTGTACCTTTAATTTAAATGCCCTTGGAGTCTGCTGGGGAAGAGAAATAATACTGTCAGTCAGTATGACATGCAGATGAGTGCCGTCGATCTTAGAATCACCGCACACTTCACTCATTTGGGCAGTCACGGGGCACGACGAAGAAGAAGAAGAAGAAGAAGAAGAAGAAGAATGAAAAGAAGAAGAAGAATGAAAAGAAGAAGAAGAAGAATGAAAAGAAGAATGAAAAGAAGAAGAAGAAGAATGAAAAGAAGAAGAAGAATGAAAAGAAGAATGAAAAGAAGAAGAAGAAGAATGAAAAGAAGAAGAAGAAGAATGAAAAGAAGAATGAAAAGAAGAATGAGAAGAATGAAAAAAGAAGAAGAAGAATGAAAAGAAGAATGAAAAGAAGAAGAAGAAGAAGAATGAAAAGAAGAATGAAAAGAAGAATGAGAAGAATGAAAAGAAGAAGAAGAATGAAAAGAAGAATGAGAAGAAGAATGAAAAGAAGAATGAGAAGAAGAATGAGAAGAATGAAAAGAAGAATGAGAAGAATGAAAAGAAGAATGAGAAGAATGAAAAGAAGAATGAAAAGAAGAAAGAAGAATGAAAAGAAGAATGAAAAGAAGAAGAAGAAGAATGAAAGAAGGAAGAAGAAGAATGAAAAGAAGAAGAAAGAAAAGAAGAATGAAAAGAAGAAGAAGAATGAAAAGAAGAAGAATGAAAAGAAGAATGAAAAGAAGAATGAACTATATTACTATATCAGTCTCTAATGGATGCTGGAGAGTTAAACCCCCTAACACCTGCTGTGCCCATTATGAGGGGTTCCCACCATCCCTGTGCTGAGGTTCTGGGTATGCACACCTGCTGTGCCCATTATGAGGGGTTCCCACCATCCCTGTGCTGAGGTTCCAGGTCTGCACACATGCTGCGCCCATTACTAGGGGTTCCCACCATCCCTGTGCTAAATTTCCTGGGTCTGTACACCTGCTGTTCCCAATATGAGGGTTTCTACCATCCCTGTGCTGAGGTCCCAGGTCTGCACACCTGCTGCGCCCATTACTAGGGGTTTCCACCATCCCTGTGCTGAGGTTCTGGGTATGCACACCTGCTGTGCCCATTATGAGGGGTTCCCACCATCCCTGTGCTGAGGTTCCAGGTCTGCACACCTGCTGCGCCCATTATGAGAAGTTCCCACCATCCCTGTGCTGAGTTCCTGGGTCTGTACACCTGCTCTGCCCATTAGGAGGAGTTCCCACCATCCCTGTGCTAAATTCCTGGGTCTGTACACCTGCTGTTCCCATTATGAGGGGTTTCTACCATCCCTGTGCTGAAGTCCCAGGTCTGCACACCTGCTGCGCCCATTACTAGGGGTTCCCACCATCCCTGTGCTGAGGTTCTGGGTATGCACACCTGCTGTGCCCATTATGAGGGGTTCCCACCATCCCTGTGCTGAATTCCTGGGTCTGTATGTACACCTGCTGTGTCCATTCCTGCACTGAGTACCTGAGTCTGTCTTACACCTGCCAAAAGAAAGTTTCAGGATTTTGAAGGAGCAAAATACAGTAATACTGGAACAAAAATGAGCTGCGTGGTGGAGTTGCCAGAAGAAGAAGAAGTAGAAGAAGAAGAAGAAGAAGAAGAAGAATGAAAAGAAGAATGAAAAGAAGAAATGAAAATGAAGAAGAAGAAGAATGAAGAAGAAAAAAGAAGAAAGAAGAAGAATGAAAAGAAGAAGAAGAAGAATGAAAAGAAGAAGAAAAGATGAAAAGAAGAATGAAAAGAAGAAGAAGAAGAATGAAAAGAAGAAGAAAAGAAGAAGAAGAAGAATGAAAAGAAGAAGAATGAAGAAGAAGAAGAAGAATGAAAAGAAGAAGAAGAAAGAAGAAGAAGAATGAAAAGAAGAAGAAGAAGAATGAAAAGAAGAAGAAGAAGAATGAAAAGAAGAATGAAAAGAAGAAGAAGAAGAATGAAAAGAAGAAGAAGAAGAAGAAAGAAGAATGAAAAGAAGAAGAAAAGAAGAAGAAAAGAAGAATGAAAAGAAGAAGAAGAAGAATGAAAAGAAGAAGAAGAAGAATGAAAAGAAGAAGAAGAAGAAATGAAGAAGAATGAAAAGAAGAAGAATGAAAAGAAGAAGAAGAATGAAAAGAAGAAGAAGAAGAATGAAAAGAAGAAGAAGAAGAATGAAAAGAAGAAGAAATGAAAAGAAGAAGAAGAATGAAAAGAAGAAGAAGAATGAAAAGAAGAAAAGAAGAAGAAGAAGAAGAAGAAGAATGAAAAGAAGAAATGAAAAAAGAAGAAGAAGAATGAAAAGAAGAAGTATTCCAGTACAGCAAAAAGTGTATCTGCAGAGAGCTCCGCTATTTCTGACAGTTCTCTGACAGTTCCTTCACATTTACAGCGGTTGAAACATTGTATCTATTTGTTTCCGAATAAAAACATCTGTATCCTAAATGGAAACAAATAGATACAATGTTTCAACCGCTGTAAATGAACTGTCAGAACTGTCAGAAATAGCGGAGCTCTCTGCAGTGACACTTTTGCCGGCTGATCGGGAAAAATTCGATTCGTGCACCCGAAGTTGGCTAAAATTCGGATTCGATGCGAATCAAATTTTTCCCGATATTCGAAACGAATTCCACTTCGCCTGGTTCGATTCGCTCATCTCTAAATAAAATCAAAGTGTGCATGGCCACTGCTAGTCTTTTCTCCCCCCAATGACCAGACTGCAATATATAGTCCTCATGCACACTGGACGTTTTTACAGCTGCTGTTTTTGGCTTTTGATGTTTTTTCTACAGCCAGTAAACTCCCCAGCATGTTATGCTGTGTGTCTATGCACACGTAGACTGTAATCAGCGTTTTTTGGCTGGAAAAAACCCCCCAGAACTAGTGGATTTCTAGAGGAGTTTTTTAGCTGTAAAAACAATCTAATGCTGGAAAATGGACTTTTTTTTGCCTAAAAAACAACCGCAAACCTGAAAAAATGCTGCAAAACACAGCTAACCGCTAATGCAAAAACTTTTAAACACTAAAAAAAACTCGTGACTTTACACAGCTAACGTTATCAGCATTATTGAAACATCCAGTGTGCATGGAGTCTTATGCTTAAACTTTGATAGTAGACAGGAAAACTAATCTGCTATTACAAGGCTTGAAAAAGATTTAAATAATACAGGATAATGAATACAGGAGAATCAATAACACCTGGTGCCTCCTGGTTATTAGACATGCAATGTATACATGATATCACAGAACCTAGGCTACAAGGATGCATCCCAGCATAAACAGTTGACTGCTGTCCACCATCTGAGCAGCTTATGCTGTGGAAAAAATAATGAACTTCTGATCCCTGGGTGACATGGATTATAAAGAGAATCTATATACAAACCTTTGAGTTTTGAATATGTAGCACTACCCCTTTGCTTAAGTTTTGGGTCCCCTTTAGGCCAGCACAGTCAGGCAACACGCATTTTCCCATAGACTTGCATCCAGGAGTAAGTAACCAGTCCCTTTGTTTTTATGATTTTATTAGGGGATTGTAACTTGGATAGGATAAGGGGTGTACGGGATGCCCAGTGGAACTATAACTGAGGACAATCTTCTTGAACTACATACAAGTCTTTATACAAAAAAACTCTTCTTGGAGAGCTGTCCAGCATCTCTTGTTGTACCACCCGAGACCCCAGATTCTCCAAATCCAGCTGTTCTGTGAGAATCCCTGAGCCGGGGATTCCGTGCCTGTGATGTTAGAGTAAGACAGTCCCGGGTAGTTGCTAATCTGGTTTCCAATCAGAGTGCTCCTTCCCCTATCTGGTCCAGGGGGTGCAGGTCTACTCATATAGTCCTTCTCCTGTGTCGCTGGTGGATTGGTGGCTGCTACCAGGCCTTCTAGCTGGGCCGCTCTTTCCCTGCCACACAGGTGGCCCTCTCTCAGTGGGCCGGTGAAGTTCCAAACTTTCCTCCTTCCAAGATTCCTGCCTGGAGGTGAGCCCCTCTCCATTTGGGCCCCCTCAAAGGCTCCTTTCTCCACCCTTACATCCTCCTCTTCCACCTGAATTCTCCTCTAACTCTCCTGCTGCTGAGCAGCTTCAGTTACTCTTAAAGGTTGAAACATCCCCT